GTGGTTGCTGACCTTGAGCCAGACATCCTGGAAAGTGAAGTCAAATGGGCCTTAGAAAGCACTGCAAATAACAAGGCCTGTGGAAGTGATGGCATTCCAGCTGAACTATTTAAAATTTTTAAAGATGATGCTGTTAAGGTGCTACATTCAATATGCCAGCAAATTTGGAAAACTCAGCAGTGGCCAGAAGATTGGAGAAGATCAGTCTACATCCCAGTCCCAAAGAAGGGCAGTGCCAAAGAATGCTCCAACTACCGCACAATTGCACTCATTTCACACGCTAGCAAGGTTATGCTTAAAATTCTACAAGGAAGGCTCAAGCAGTATGTGGATCAAGAACTCCCAGAAGTGCAAGCTGGATTTAGAAGAGGCAGAGGAACCAGAGACCAAAATGCAAACATGCGCTGGATTATGGAGAAAGCTAGAGAGTTCCAGAAAGACATCTACTTCTGCTTCATTGACTATGCAAAAGCCTTTGACTGTGTCGACCACAGCAAACTATGGCAAGTTCTTAAAGAAATGGGAGTGCCTGATCTGCCTCCTGAGAAATCTCTATGTGGGACAAGAAGCTACAGTTAGAACTGGATATGGAACAACTGACTGGTTCAAAATTGGGAAAGGAGTACGACAAGGCTGTATTTTGTCTCCCTGCTTGTTTAATTTATACGCAGAATACATCATGCGAAAGGCTGGGCTGGATGAATCCCAAGCTGGAATTAAGATTGCTGGAAGAAATATCAACAACCTCAGATATGCAGATGACACAACCTTGATGGCAGAAAGTGAGGAGGAATTAAAGAACCTTTTAATGAGGGTGAAAGAGGAGAGCGCAAAATATGGTCTGAAGCTCAACATCAAAAAAACGAAGATCATGGCCACTGGTCCCATCACCTCCTGGCAAATAGAAGGGGAAGAAATGGAGGCAGTGAGAGATTTTACTTTCTTTGGCTCCATGATCACTGCAGATGGTGACAGCAGCCATGAAATTAAAAGACGCCTGCTTCTTGGGAGAAGGGCAATGACAGGCCTAGACAGCATCGTGAAAAGTAGAGATGTCACCTTGCCAACAAAGGTCCGTATAGTTAAAGCCATGGTTTTCCCAGTAGTGATGTATGGAAGTGAGAGCTGGACCATAAAGAAGGCTGATCGCCGAAGAATTGATGCTTTTGAATTATGGTGCTGGAGAAGACTCTTGAGAGTCCCATGGACTGCAAGAAGATCAAACGCATCCATTCTTAAGGAAATCAGCCCTGAGTGCTCACTGGAAGGACAGATCGTGAAGTTGAGGCTCCAATACTTTGGCCACCTCATGAGAAGAGAAGACTCCCTGGAGAAGACACTGATGCTGGGAAAGATGGAGGGCACAAGGAGAAGGGGGCGACAGAGGATGAGATGGTTGGATAGTGTTTTCGAGGTTACCAGCTTGAGTTTGACCAAACTGCGGGAAGTAGTGGAGGACAGAGGTGCCTGGCGTGCTCTGGTCCATGGGGTCACGAAGAGTCGGACACGACTAAACGACTAAACAACAACAAAGAGCAAATCCACCAACTATAAGTAGACTTGGGTATAAAGTTATTAAACAGGGCACACACAAAAAAAAGAAAACAAATAGAAGGAAATTATTAATGATGTATTTTGCTTGCTACTGAACTTTTAAAAAAATCCCTCTGATTTGCAGCAGGTGCGCTGATCAATCAACCAATCACTGTAATTTATACAGAGACTTACTGCATCCCTCCCCCAGTTGTTTCATTTGCTGCCTGTAATTGAGAACAAACCACACTTAAGGTACGCTTCATGCAAGAGTTAATAAGGGCTGACAGCTGCTGCTATTGCTGCTTCCTTGAGATCACTGCAGGCTGGTGTTACCTTAATAGACAAAGCGAGTTCTCAAGTTCCGAAAGGGAGGGAAGGAGACATTTGGATTCTCCAAACATGCCCTGCAGGAAGCCAAATATATGGCAAGTCCAGATTCTGTACCTTACACTCGTTCTTATATAGAGCAGATGAAATGGTAAACCTGTGTCCGGACTGTCCCACTTCAGATTGTAGGTGAATGCTTGTGGGGGGGGGTTTGGGGGGTGATTTCTGGATATAGGAAACTAAATGTCAGAGGAAAGGGTTATAACCTAGCCATTTTCCTGATATGCTAGATTTCTTACACTTAGGAATGTTATCCAAAGGCAAAACGCTGCACCGCTTGAGCCGCCCGCCTGCAATCTGAAGTGGTACACCCCTGTAAGGAGGCTACCACAACTATTATTTGTGAGAACCAGGTCTCCCGCTTTCTATGGCACTTTCATGCCTCAAAATGAATCGCATCTATAATTGGTTAGGAGAGAGGAAAGCAAACTTTTAAGAACTCCTTAAGGATTCTTAATATCATCATATACTGGCGCTAGAGTTTCAGCCAGGTGTGAAGTGCAATCTGAGCTATTTCAACGGGACTCTTTATTTCCAGCTTTGTATCCCTAGGAAAAGGATTGTTGTCCCATTCATGAAAATACTCTTAGTGGCAAAAGGGGCGGGAGTATGGTGTGCGCACGTTGCATATATATTAATTATATACACATCATCTCCCGAGCTTCCCAAACGTGTAAGATCGAGTGTCGTAACAGGCTAGGCTTACCAAGGAAATTGGCAAGTCAATAACCTCAAGGGAAGGAGTAGACCGAACAAGCCTTCGTCCAGGTTTTATTACAAAATATTTCCTTCCACCACACCAGAATCCCACACCGAAGCGCTGTAACAACTACAGAAGTCCCAAGCCCGTGTTAGATTTCATAGATCCGTGCTGCTTGGTGCGGATTGGACGGAGGTTTCAAAGTAAACGACTGAGTGGTTTTGCCTCATGGGAAGCGAAAGCTGGCTCGGCTTCCGTTTCCTCTTCTCGCTCATATATTTTATCTTCCTTATTTCACGCAGTTCGATTTATTATTTATATTATTTTTTAAATATATATATATCTATATCGCCCTTCTTCCGAGATTCACAGGGCGGTTTACAATATAAAAACACAAAAATACATAACATAGTAACAAACTAAAACAGTAAACCGCCCCGCCCCCATTTAAAAGTCCATAGATATTTATTTATTTATTATTTATCTATCTATCTATATCTATCTATCTAATCGATCTATGACTCGTCTACGGCAAGGTGTTGCAGGGGCTTATCTGTGAAATCAATCCCAATTGAGTGACTCAGTTGTGGCTTAACTGCGCCCTGTGGATAAGGGGAATGCACTCTGCACATGCTCAAAGGGACTATCTTCATTATTAATCTGCATCTTCTAAACCTTATTATCGACTTTGTAAAACACGTTCTAGGGGTCTCATAAATCTTTCAGCTGGATCCTAAACTTGATTTTTACTAAGATTCTTTAAGTCCTCACCAGAACTTCCTTCCGAGAGATGTATTTAGAATGAATCTCCCATCCCTCCTTTTTACCACCCCGACTCTGCATTTTAGAAATTTTGTTTATTAGCTCCTCAGTCTATCAAGGCTCCTGAACGCCTTCCATGACCAGATAATAAAATATCAGATCACAGAAGGCATTTAATTAGAAAGAAACGAAAAAGGTCCAATCTCATCAAACAGAGTGGGAGCAGCAGCCTTGGGATCTCGGCTGACCAGGCCTAAAATAAGTCTGGGGGTGAGTTTGGCTGGCCGTCCTCTGCAAAGACCCCCATCCTAAACCGCCTTCAGCCTCTGTCGCCCCCAGCCTCTGGCTCTGTAAGCCAGTTAAACCGCTTAACTGGCTTAGCGAGGACGTCATAGCAGCTCTCACTGGCAACGCAACAACATGGTCACGCCAAGAGAAAGGGGTCCCATTTTTAAAACGAAGACCACCCCCTTACACACCACTTGCTTTTTAGTTGCATCCTCACGCGAGGAAACTGCACCCTTACAGGGCAGGTCTACACAGATTTACTCCGAAGCAAGCCTCGGCGGGGGGGTCTCAACCTTATTCTACAAGTGGCAGCGCCCCCTCCCTTGTATCGATCGATCGAGAAGCATTTTTAATAGGCGCTGAAAAATATTTACAGCTGGAATCGCAGCCAACTCCATAGGTCTGAGCCGCAATGCTCTCAGACGCGCTTGCCAACAAACCATTCGTCTGCCCCGAAGAGTTTTGGAAGGAACAGGGATGTTAATGAAAGAGCCTGGGATGCAGTTCTGCCCCCTTGTCTTCAGCAGAAAGAGGTTGCCTGTCTCCAGGACTGCCACTACTACGAGGACGCTGCTGGTGGGGTTCGTTGGTTTGTTTAAATTTCTATACCGCCCTGCATCCGAGGATCACAGGGCGGTTTACAATAAGACCATAGCAAAACTAGAAAGATGCCCCATTCCTAACGCTGCTCATCTTTCCTGCATTGTGAAATCTGGAAGTATCTTGCCATAATTGTTAGCAGCAGGTATCCTACATTTCTTGGGTTGTGGCTGAAGGAATACATTCAGGAAACAGGGTTTTTTTTCCCCAGCTTTAGAGGACTTGCGTTGGAACTGAGTACTCTTACGAAGCCTGATCCCTATACATATTTACTCGGAAGCAAGTCCCACCATGTTCGATAGGACTTGCTACCAGAGAAGCATGCACAGGATTGCAGCCTTATCTGGAAGTCAGTCCAAGACAATGGACTTACTTTGCGGGGTGGGGGCGGTTAAATTAAAATAGTGACCAGGAAGACCAGATCCAAGGGTCCAGCAGCCTGCATCCTAAAGTTGTCTCCGGGGAGCAAGGGCTCCAAAAGGCGCCCTGACCCCACCCTAACCCCAACCGCACTTTCTCCCCAGTTGCTTAATTTGGTTGGGACCATTCTCACGTCCATGATCCTTTTCACCCTTTCCTTACGTGGGGATGTGCTTCCAATTAAATGTGTTGAGGTCGGAGCGCGAGTCCTGCAGCCAACTGGGCGGTGGATCTGGATGCCAGTGTCTCATCAAACCCATCCTCCAAGTAAGTAGACCATTCAGGCTGCAACCCTGTGCATACTTACCTGGGAGTAAGCGCCGTTGAACACACTGGGACTTACTTCCGAGTAAACATACATAGGATCGGGCTGGACATGAGGGGGAAAAAACAAAACAAGAACACACACACTCTACTTGATGTAAAGAAAATATTCATCTGAGTCAGAGGCTGCGATCCTAAGTCACAAGAGGGACCCTCATTAAAATGAACGGAACTTGCCTCTAAGTAGATCTGATCGTGCAAGGGGAGTTTAAACGGATATTGCACTTGTCGCTTTGCCCGCTTATGTAACTGAAGCGAATGCGTTTCATAGCATTTTCCCATGTAGGTACCGTCTAACAGGTATTATGGCGCCTGCCTGCTGCTTCTTGTTGTTGCTACAGTCCCTTTGAAAGAAGCAGCCCTTTAGTAAAAGGCAAGATGACTTGGGCAAACGTTTCCAAATACACGGAGAGCTCCTGCAAACCTCTACATAACCATATCCATTGCAATTTCATAGCTCCGGAGATGTGCGCTCTAATATCCAGGTCCATCTTTTGTAAATTACCTAATTCTTCTCTCTTTTTTTGAAGGGGTAAAAGGAAAGGAAAGGAAAAAGTGAGCCTCCCGTGGAAGAAACTATAGGGATCGAGTTATCCAGATCTGTATAATTACTTTTATATTAAAGCTATTGCAAAATGTAATGCAATTTGGAGATTTCAGTTAGGTGCACAAGAGCGGGGGCGTACGCAGCACAACGAACAGAGAAAGCACACAGCTCATGATGAATTTTAACCTAAATGCCTCCTCCATTTATTGTTGTTATTGATGATTACGATGATCCAGAGGAGCTTTATTTTGTTCTTGAGTTCAGCGTAGCAACGATTTTACTCTCCCAGCCATGGGACCTCCACTGGCCCTGAACACCAGTTGCAGGGAACCACAAATGGGGAGGGACCTGTTGTGCTCTGGTCCTACTTGACGGCTTCCCATAGGCATCTGGTTGGCTAGCATGAGAACAGGATAACGGACTAGGCCGGCCTTGGGCCCGATCCAGCAGGGCTCTTCTGTTAGCTCAAACTACTGACTGTTTCTGATGCTAGCGCTCAGCCCCGAAACTTTTCAGAGGCAGAGTGACTCTGAGCATGGACAGAGCTCAGTTGGCTCCTCGCTGGGTCTGCAGTACTATTAACATCTGTTTTACTTCTCTGTAGCCATTGAATGCAATAGAATTTACTTCCCATAAAATATTAAGGATCGTTCTTCACTTTATATGGAGGGAAGAACTGGAATTCCGGAGTGGTATCATTTCAATTGCCGAAGTGTGGCTGGGTGCGCCGTTTCTGAATGCTCCCCAAAGTAACCCCATCGCTCTGCATTGGGTAAACTAGCACACGAGAGAGAGAAAAGGTTCTGCACAGCCTCTTTCCTCAGCGCCAACATTATTAACGGCAGGGAACTGTGCAGGCCACCAGAGCGGCGTCCGGAAACGTGTCCCTAACCTGCAACTCCCCAGTTGAATCCGCCACCCCATTCCGTAAGGCCATCAACCCAGACACACTTTGCAACAGCCCCCACAGAACTCAGCGGGGTCTTTCCGTCCGAGCAAATCCATGTTCCTGGCTAGTCATCTACTTTCTTTATAAGTCAATGGAATTTACTCCCAAGTAAAAGTCACTAAGATTGGGGAGCGGATGGGGAAGGGGAGTTAAGTAATTGCAGCTTTTCTTCCACGTATTATCATTATCACATATTTATTTATACCCCGCCTTTTTCCCTGACAAGGTCTCAAGGCGATTTACAGCCACTACATCCTTTGCTTCGGCTGATGTACCGGGGAAGGGACACCCCCCCCAGCTCCTCTCTCAAACCCAAGAGCCTTTTCCTCTCTCGTCTCCTTGAGAGCGCTTCCTCCCGCACCCGCTGCCACTCCGATGTAATATTATAACCGAGGTGGGTGCTTTTGTTTTAATTTCTAACAGGAGGGAGGGACCGCCCTCCCCGCTTCGCTCCCCCTCTTCCTCCCTCCCCTCCTCCCTTTCTCTTGAGCTTATCAATAGGAGCGAGGGAGCCGCAGTAGCCGCTTGGTTTGCTAGTAATTATGAACGACAATCCTGTTCCCGAAAACGGGAGCTCTTAGTCGAGCAAGATCGCTTTGAAACGACAGCAGGAAACGGCAAGGAAATGGAGCGTGCAGCAACCCAGCGTGAAACTTTCGCTTCTTTACATGTTTACCATTTTCCACGCATATATTAAGGCTGGGCGGGCAGGGAGAAAAGAAAATCGGTTCTGCATTGGGTTGCTCCCACACAACAGAGAGCAAACAAACAAACTAAAAGGGGGCGATTCCGGAGCAATGGGGCTCCCAAATACCTTGTGATAGGATCACAAGCCTAGATTTATGGCGCTTCTGAGTTTCTGTTTATTTTCGTTTTATATATTAATCATACGTTAAAAAAAATACACGCACAATTAGGGTTGGGAATCGTGGAATTGTTCTTATGTAATGTGGGTGTTTTCTGGAGCAAGACCCAAAGCCACGACCCATTTGCTCCCGAGGAATCCTCTTAAAATAAATCGGACCAGTAGCCAGCAAGCGGATTGTGCTAATTTATCCGGAAGTCTCTTTAAAATCTGTTTGTGTCGAGTAATGAGCGCGCAATAATTCGAAAGTTTCCCTCTTTTTAATAGACAAGTGTACTTGGAGATCTTTGGATACTTGCTGAAAAGTGAGTCCCGCGGGTTTCAACGACCAGTTAAGTGTTCGAAGGTGCAGCAACGGCTTGGCCTTCAATCCCACGTGGCGCACACATTTCTCGGAAGAAAATATTCCAGCAAGGCCCAAGGAAACCAAGGCTGTGGGCCATAACTGCCAGCAGACCCGACCACGGGCCACCACGGCTGAGGGTGCTGGGAGCCTCTGGAGGGCACGTGCTAAACAGCCCTGGTGGGAAGCATTTCTTCGGTGTAAATAAACATTTACTTCCAAGCCAAGCTGCAAAAACACATAAATCTAGAATCACAGCGTTGGAAGGGACTCCAGAGGTCATCTGGCCCAGCCCCTGTGGTGCAGGAACATCCACACACGGTTCCCCATCCAATCTGAAACCATACCCGACGACCCTGCTTCCCTTTGTAAATCTGCTGGCTGGCAGGTTTCCTCACATCAACCGCTAACGACACAGAGAGCTTTATCTCCCTATTTTATAATATTGTGTCTCTTCTAGGACCAAAAAAAAGTATGTGTCCAGTCGTGGGAGGCTACAAAGCTTCAGCTCCGGGAAACTTTAATGTTAAACCCATTTTCACTTAATGGAATCCTACACGCTCTCGAATTCATCTATCCAGTTATTTCGATTTACTGTAAGCAGTTTATAGTGGCATCCTAAAAGACTTGCCTAGAATATCGCAACGGGATTTAGCCCTCTGTAAAGACCTGCCGAGGATCTCACGCAGCCTTAAACCGCGCTACTCACAGCTGGAAGAAAAAGGAGGAAGTTCCTTCTCGACTCAGATCAGTTTTTACATGTTGTGAGTTTCGTTGAAATGACTGGCAAAAGCTCAAGCGATTTTAGCAAATATTTGCCCGATGCGGTCAGCTCTCTCTGTCCCTCTCTCTCTCTACTGTACTCCAGATTTGCCTGTCCCTTCTCTTAGCTGGCAGCGAGTTCCTTTAGCTCTGGGCTTTGGGCAGGCGTGGTGCTACTCCTGCAAACAGGTTTCAGGCAGGCCTACAACCCGCCTCCCCGCTCGTGGGGGGGGGGGGGATATCAAGTCATAAATCACTACATTCGGCAAGTTCAAGACGCCCCTTGCCCTTTTCACACGGGTTGGACAAGGGCGTCAACAGAAAGCGCGGCATTCAACTGGATCCCAAAAGGCAGCCTTGGAATGTCTCCCGGGCAAAAAGAGTTAAGCTTTGACCCGCAGTACCTGCCCCGCTGCATTCAAAAGCGATTTTTCTCGAAGGAGAATTAATCCTAGCCGATGGCCCAGAAAGGTATTTCCCCTTCACCGTTCCTTGCAAAATGGTATCTAACCTTATCTATACATATAATGTGTGGACTTCTTTCGTGAGAGTCTTGACCGCTGCTGAACCAACCACAGGGCCCATCCCTGCACACTTCTTCTTAGAATGGCTTCCTCTTCTTGGCCACTTCCTGCGCTTTACACCATAAATCGAGCACAGCCATCGCACATTTAGAGGGCGCGACTTTCCTCAAAGAATCCTGGGAACTATGGTTTGCTATCGGTACCGGGAATTGTAGGTCTAAGGTTGCCAGGATTCTTGCGTGCATTGAATGCACGTTGGTTATATGTGTCTGTGTGTTCTAAAACTACAATTGCGCTGGCCACGCAGAGGAAGAAAATGCGAGCAGGGTGGCGGACAATTTCCCCGTTGGGTTCCCAGGGGTTTGCCCGCAGTGGGGAGTCAGGATCCGATCCCGCGCATTTGCTGCTGGGATGCGTTTGCCGCTTTGAGGTCCAATTATCTACATATTGATCCCGAAGTAACTGCCAGTGACAATTTCAAGTGGGAGAGGGCTTCCTACGAGCCACATCCAAAACAGCCTAATAAACTACCAAGCCCTCGGGTTCAGCAAAGTCATGAGGGTGGACCAGCCACCAGCCATGAAGTCTGCAGAGATGGGAGAGAATCCATATCACGCGACGCGTTCCTTTAGGAAAGCCTTGCAGCCAGTCTCCCTCAAGGCGGCTCCGCACTTCCGGCAGACTCCACCCAGAGGCGACCGGGACAGGGAGTCTCCTCGCCCCCACTTTACCGCTCCGTGCATAATCAAAACATCGTTTCATCCAGCCTTTTAGCCAACGTGCCCCACCCTCAATGCCGGTGTTTGAAACGCCATTCGAGCCGCTGGGGGGTCCTGATCCGCGTTGGCCGTTGCTAATATTTAATGTCTGCCCGGGCGAAGGGTTCATACAGCCCCCCCCCGCCGCCGCCGCCCCAGCAAATGAAAGCGTACGATCTGGCAACTCAGGTAACCCGGATTTTCGAATCATAGGCGTTTGGAAGGGACTCCCAAGGGTCATCTAGTCCAACCCTCTGCAATGCTTAGCTACTCTTAACCTTAGGGAAGTAGTCTCCAA